TGCAAGAGGTGCAAGCACGGAAAGGAAGCAGTCACACAGAGAAATTGCATGTGGTGCAAGACGCTTCCTCATTGGAGAGGGAACCTCTGCCAGTGCCAGTGCTGCTTTCAGTCTTTTCTTTCGTGTGCTGGGGCAACAGGCAGCTTCACACCCCTTTTTGCTATCTCACATCTCTTGGAGCTCTCATCTTCTGAGAACCACCTAGTTTTCAGCCTTTTACATGGGAGCAGCCACCAGCCACAATACCTGGCATGCTTGCTCTCTGTGCAGATCTCAGAAGTCTGAGAAGGACATGTGAACATTGCTGGTCCATAGCTCTCCAAACCTGGGATCTTGCAGGAACATGCAACTTGCACACTAGTGTGGAAAAGTCAGGTAGAAATCACATCAGGCTGTTGGGACAATCTTCCCCTTTTACTGCCTGAGAACTTAGGAGGGATTGTGAAGCAAGGTCCCCTAAAGTGCACAGGAGGGCATAATTACCCCTAAGTGCATCAAGGTTTTGGCAGAAATGGCTGAGTGCTCAAGACTGGTCTGAGGGCAGACGCACAGGAAAAAGCTGCCCTGGGGCCTGGGAGCACAGATGCTATGGCTGGATGTGTCACAGGGACACTCTGAGAGGGGGAAAGGGTTAGAAGAGTTGGGAAGGCAGCAGCAGAGAAGGGGTTGCCAGTGAGGCTCTCTCTCTGTTAGAGCCTGGTGGATCTGACCACCGCAGCAAACCAACCATGTGAGATGGCCTAGGGCAGCAGTCGATTAAACTGTGCTCCAGGCTGCCTGGTAGCTCTTGCCAGGGGTGCTTGGTCTGTGCCCAAGCTGAGGTGCACAGCTGGGGAGAAACCAAGTCCTGACGGCACATGCCCAGAAGGGCCAGCAGTCCCTTGAGATGGACTTCTTTTCTGCTCTCCAGGAGAGTCCAGTTCTCCCAAACCTGGAGCTGGGCTCCGCTGTGTGCTGAGGCACATGACCCACAAGCCCTGCACAGAATCAGAGAATTGTTAAGGTTGGAAGAGGCATGTAGAGATCTAGTCCAACCCTCCTGCTCGAGCAGGGTACCCCATGGCAGGGAGACTCCTCCTCTCCAAAAACACCTTCTCCACAGCAGCCCCCATAGTCTGACCTTGAGAAAAACACTGTAGAAATCTCGTTTGGGCGCTTCCTCAGCAATGCTGCTTGGGGCAGGAGCTCCAGCAACCAAGCACCTCTGTGGGATGGAGCTCCAGGGATGGAGCTCCAGTCTGTCCGGACACCTCTTTGTCACCCGCACATACTCAGACGTGCAACCTCAGTCTCCTTTTTCCTGTCAACATTTCGTCTCTTCCTGCAATAGGGCTGCTATCCAGGACAGGGCCCTGCCTTTCGATTTCCTTTGCTCAGATGCAGAGCTAACGTGTACAGGGATTCCCTTTCCTCAGCACATATCGTCCTGGCAGAAGGGCCAGGGGCTCCTGGGGTGCATCCTGGGCCCGCAAGCAGCAGCACGGTGCAGCCCGGAGTGCTGGTATGCAAGTCTACACTGGAGATTTTCAGCGTGAGGAGCCGCAAGGGGCTATGAAAGCAACCTTCACCAGTAGGAAGAGGTTCCTCGTCTGGGAGTCTTTGGAAAACAGCTAGATAAATTCCATAAACCAAACAAGAGTGTAAAAATACAGCCCCAATGGCTCTGTGTGACACTCCCAGCACAGTGGCTGCCAGCACAGTGGCTGCCAGGACAGACCCATGCAATCAGTGTGACGTCCTTAAAAGCCCTTTATTACCCCATCTGAAACCTCAAATCCCATAGCAGAAGTATGGCTCAAGCAGTTGTCCGGAACTCCATGCACTCGCTCCTTCTTTCTCTTCACACTTCCTCTTGCAGCACATCAGAAAATCCAGCTTTGACCATAATCCAGGCTCTTCCCCTTGCAGCACATCAGAAAATCCAGCTTTGACTGTAACTCAGGCTCTGCACAACGACAGGGGCCATTGCAAGACAGTACTGTGGGCCAAGACATGCGCCGAGATGTCTTTTGCACACATTGCAGCGCAAGGAGCTGCAGAGAGGAGCAGCCAGGGCTTTCCAAGGAGCAGGGAGAGCACCCACCCTCAGCACCTGTGAAGAGCAGCCAGGCAATGCAGGACACCTCCAGCATGGCTGGTCACCGTCTCCTAGCCAGCACTGTCATTGCAGCCACTTTTTGCAGAGCTGTTGCCACCTCATGGGATGTTACTTCTCTGCTGTGGGTGGGGATGGGCACTGCATGAGCACAGGTTCATGGGTTTGAGGCTAGTGACCCCTCCAGAGCCTGGTAGCAGGTGGGAGAGCAGAGGGGCAGCAGAAAGCGCCTCCGGCCCTCAATTAGAAACCTTGAATGATCTTGCAGTGAATAGCTCAGCACTCTCAGCCTGGCACTCTTCGGCAGGCACCGGGGTAACTTTCTGCTGAGGGCAGACTGATCCCACTCGTGCTCTTCCAGCTGTTTGGAGAGCACTTCTCTGGACGTCTTTGTATCATTTTTGCCAAGGAGTCACCGAGAGGACTCTATAGCTAGAGCTGCCCAAAGCTCTCCCACAGTGAGATGAATGCAATGACTTGCTTAGCTTTTCTCTATGGATTTGTCTTCCCTAAATTCTTCTTTGTGCCCTAAAATGTATTTGCCTTACCGACATAATGGAATATTTGCAGCTCTTGAAGTGTTTGCAAAAAGGACTGCACACTGATTGCAGGTTGTTCTTCCCTCCTGAGCTTGTCTTTGCTGTTTTGTCTTATTGGTCTTTTACATTCAGCCTTGTAAATAAATGAATATATTTATATCTATATAATCTCTCTATATATTTCCTATATCTCTCTATATATTTCATCTGGACTTGGCTTCAGTTCTTTGAAGGGGACCCTTCTGTTTCTGCTCGTCTTTGGCCCTTTGCCATTTGATACCAGACTGCAGCAGGAGCCCAGAAAAGTTGCCTAAAATCTTTACAGGCTTACTGGACACCATATGACCTTGTTGCTTTGTTTAGCTTTGTTTTTATCCAAGCTTCCTCATTTCATGCATTTCCCTTTTCCGAAGATGAACAAGGCTGCACTGGACTTTTCAATCTTCGGTGTTTGCACAGAGCCGCAGAAACAAAGTACATTGTGGTGGTCATCAACAGACAGCTTTTTGGTGAGAACATGCTCATCCAAGTCCTGCATGATGCTCAGTTCTCCATCCTCTTCCTCCCTCAACTTCTGGCACGCGCGGAAGAGCCACCCATTGCCGCTTTGCCTCTCTCTGATATTAACAAACCAGCTATGTAGCTCCTTCAAAACTAAGATCAGTAGTGCTACAGCCTGCTTTTTCCTTCTGGTTGGGATCTCCATCTCCCAGAGTGTATCCATGCACCAGAGATGTCTGCTTCCCTCTTCTAAAGTGGAGGTCCCATCGATAGGCTCATCTTAGGTCACCCCTTGGAGAAAGGCCCTGAAGGTCTCACCACCTCTTTCCTCTGCAGTATTGGGGCTGCTCTGTGCTCTCTTTGAAGCTGTCATAGGAAACCCTGCTCATGTCAGCCAACCTGTTCCCAGGACATCCTTGGGCCACCACCCTGCTTGCTCCCAAAGGGATGGGCTGGCACTGAGATACTGGCCGTGTGCAGCTGAAGCAAACAGTCCCTGGAGTGAACTGTGAGGTGAAGGCTACAGCTCACTGCCAGCCAAACATACCCATGTCTGAGTGCAAGAACCATGCTCGCTCCACGTGGGTCCTCTGCTCCCTGCAAACAGGGCTCTTGCCTGCCCCGGCCTCATGCCTGCAGCTGGAGGGCTGTGATTGCTCCCATGCACAGCACACCAGTGTGCAATGCGTTCTGCTAACGTCTGGAGCCTTTCAAACCCTCCCTTAAAGCTCCAGCCATCCAAGGACCACCCGGAGTTTTTGATGTGCTTGGCGCAGTGGCTGCGGTACTGGTGGAAGCTGCTTGGGTCTCCCTGCTTCACTGCTGCTCTGCTGGCTGGCTGCTGCTCTGAAGCGAGGGTGTCCCGTGGGCATGGCAGCAAGGGGGCAGCGGGGATCCGGGCTGTGAAAGCCAGTTGTGGACACTGTAGAAATGCTGCCGCTGAAGCTTGTGTAAAGGAAACATCCTGGGTTTCTCTATGCATATGGAGGAACTGAAGTACAGAGGGAGTCAGCAAAAAGACTAGAAATCTGCATGTCAGCAGCTGATTTCAGAGCTGAGTCCCAAGCTGGATTGGTTATTACCACCACACTGTCCTGTCCTATGTAACCCAGACTGAGCATCCGACCGTAGTGTCCTGCCTTAGCACGACCAGGCTACTGCTGTGAGTGGGGTCACACTGATGAGGGTCTGGAGAGGTGACTCCTCTGGCATCCATCCCTCTGTTGCCATCCAAGCTCAGCTCTGCCTGCAGCTCATGCGGGAGTTGAATCAGCAGAGCATGAGCCTATGTTTCCCATCACGCTGACACTCCCCCAGTGTTTTAGTGCCTTCAGTAGGTGCCGTGTCAATGTGATACCGGCTTTGTTTTCAGCCAGACGCCTCTGAGTCACTGTGATGTGACAGTGTTAACTGTCCTCTGCCAGTCCAACTTGCTGCTGTGGAGTTTTGATTGATGAGACAACCTCTGCTCTCCTGTGGCCTGTGCTGGAAAGTAACAGGTCTCTCTTCTGGCACTGTTAATCACATCCTGGCCCAGCCATACAGAGCCCCTCCAGAGGCAGCTCCATCATTTTTGCCTTGTAGCCACTCTGGGAAGTGCCCAGCACATTCTCCTGCCAGTTCTCCTAGTCTATCCTGCCCAGTTGTGCCTCTCTCCATTCCAGCTCTTGCCCTGCCCTGTGCATCCTGGTTTTCCCAGCCTACTGCCAAGGCTGCCCGGCCCTTGTTGGTGCTCAGGAAGCTCCTCCCTTCCCAGTCCCCAGCTCCTGGCACTCGTCCTGCTCTCCGGCTCTCACAGCAGTTCCTGACTATCGACAGTGCTTTGCTCTGGACCAGGGCCCTGCCAGGGTCCTGCCCTGCAAGCCATGGCTACAGCCTTTGCCCCGAAGATGAGCCAGGTCCTGATGACTCCCGAGCCCCACTACATCCCTGGGTAAGCGCTGCGGCCCCAGGGGAGCAGGGCTGGGGGAGC